GAAGGAAACTGTTCAAGACCTGAAAATGGAAATAGAAGCAATAAAGAAAACTCATACTGAAGGAATCCTAGAAAAGGAAAATCAAGGTAAGCAAACAGCAACTACAGACACAAACATCAACAACAGAATGCAAGAGATGGAAAAGAAAATAAAAAATTTCATGTATTGAAGATACATTAGAAGAAATACATTCATTGTTCAATGAAAATGTTAAATCTAAAAAATTCCTAACACAAAATATCCAGGAAATCTTGGGCACTATAAAAAGACAAAAATGTATGAATAATAGGAATAGAAAAAGAAATCCCAACTCAAAAATCCAGAAAACTTATTTAACAAAATCGTAGAAGAAAGTTTTTCTAAACTAAAATATATCCTGTTTGTAAAGGTTCAAGAATACCAAACAGGTTGTACCAGGAAAGAAAATTAATGTGCCACATAATAATAAAAACACTAAGCATAAAAAAGGAAGGACATTAAAAGCTGCAAGGGAAAACTGTTAAGTAACATATAAAGGTAGAACCTATTAAAATTTTACCCAAATCCAGAAACTCTGAAAGCTAGAAAGGCCTAGACAGATGACTTTTAGATTCTAAGAGACCACAAATGGAAGCCCATACTACTGTATCAAGAAAAAAAATAATAAATCCCCATAGATGAAGACAAGATATTTTATGACAAAGTCAAAATTAAATAATATTTATCCACCAATCTATGCCTACAAAAGGTACTAGAAAAAAAACTCCAATCTGAGGAGGCTAACTACACACATGAAAACAACAACAACAACAAAAAATAAATAATGTCATACCAGCAAAACCAAAACAAGGAACACACATACACATACACACACCACTACCACCACCACCAGCAGCAACAAAATAAAAGGAACTCACAATCATTGGTCATTAATATCTCTCAATATCAATCTATTCAATTTCCCCAAATAAAAGACAAAAATTAAGAGAATGGATATGAAAACTGAATCCATCATGTTGTTGCATACAAGAAACACACCTCAACATCAAGAATAGATGTTACCTCAGAGTAAAGGGTTAGAAAAATATTTTACTCAAGAAACAAGGTGGTACAGGTATTTTAATATCTAACAAAATAGACTTCAAACCAAGATTAATCAAAGGAGATGAAAAAGGTATTTCATACTCATCAAAGGAAAATCCCTGAAGATGATGTCTTAATTCTGAAAATCTAATCCCCAAACACAAAGTCACCCACATTTGTAAAAGAAACATTACTAAGCTTAAATCACACATCAAACCTCACACATTAACATTGGGAGGCTCCAGCACCCCACTCTTACCAATGGACAGGTCACCCAGACAAAAACTAAACAGAAATAATGGAGCTAACAGACATTGTGAATCAAATGGACCTTACAGACATCTACAGGATATTTTACCCAAACACAAAAGAATATGCATTCTCCTCAGCACCTTGGGAAATATTCTCCAAAATTGACCATATATGTGTACAAACCTTGTCCCAATAAATAAAAGAAAATTGAAATGACCCCCTGTATCCTTCCAGACCACAGATTAAAGCTAGAATTCAACAACAACAGAAACAACAGTAAGCCTATGAACTCAAGGAAACTGAACTACCAAAATAAATAAATAAATAAATAAATAAATAAATAAATAAATAAATAAATGAAGGGGTAAAAATCTAAACAGAGAATTCTCAAAGGAGTAATCTCAAATGGCTAATAAATACTTAAAAGAAATGCTCAACATCCTTAGACATTAGGGAAATGCAAATCAAAATGACTTTGACATTCCATCTTACTATTATATTATTTTAAAGTTTGTTACTTTTTGTTTATGTTGCATTTAACTCTGTGAAGCTGTGCTACTTTGTCTAAAACATCTGATGGTCTAATAAAGAACTGAATGGCTAATAGCAAGGCAGAAGTAAGGATACACAGGGCTGTCAAGCAGAGAGAATATAAAGAATAAGAAATATGGGGAAAAAGAAAGATGTAGTCAGAGAAGGAGGAGGATATCAGGGGCCAGCCACCCAGCTACACAGCAAGCCATGGAGTAAGAGTAAGATTTACAGAAGTAAGAAAAGGGAAAAGCAAGAGGCAAAAGACAGATGGGATAATCTAAAGGTAAGAAAAGCTGACAAGAAATAAGCCAAGCTAAGGCAAGGCATTTATAATTAAGAATAAGCCTCCATGTGTGATTTATTTAGGAGCTGGGTGGTAGCCTCCCCCCACCCCACACACAAATAAATAAATAAAAGAGTCAAAGAACAAAAGCAAACAACAACAATTG